AAAAAATGTTCAACATCACTGGTCATTTGAGAGATGCAGATGAAAACAACACTGAGATTCCACCTCACCCCAGAAAGAATGGCTGCTATTAAGAAATCATCTAATAACAAATGCTCGCAGGGGTGTGGGGAGAAAGGAACCCTTCTCCATTGTTGGTGGGAGTGCAGAATGCTGCAACCACTGTGGAAATCAGTTCTTTGAGATACTTCAAAGAACTAGGCTTAGAGGTCCCATTCAACCCAGCTATCCTCCTGCTAGGTATCTTCCCCAAAGAATTAAAAGAATCATACCACAGTGATATATGTGCATCTATGTTTATAATGGCACAGTTCATAATAGTGAAAGCTTGGAAACAACCCAAGTGCCCATCAACTGGAAACTGGATAAAGAAGATGTGTTTTTTTTATAAAATGGAGTACTACTCAGCCATAAAGAATGAGAAACTAGAGACATAGGTAAATGGATGCATATTGAGGCCATCCTCTTAAGTGACATAAATAGGGCACACATGTGTAAATAGTGAATAGTTTCTCTAGTGTGAGAGACTGAAAGTGTAATTAAGGATACACATGGATGAAAGGGCCTAATAACATATTTCTTGGGTTGTGTTTCCATCGTGTGTCGTATGACTGTATCGAAATTTAAATTAGGGAGAAGCTTGGCCTATGTGGAGTCTAAATTTTTTTTCCAGATCATTAATTGTTCAGTGTTGGTTTTGGGGATCTTTCTGAAACAAATCACATCCTCTGGAGTCTTGTTGGTGCTTGAGATGCTTTTTTAAGTTATATGGAAAAATGTTTAAGTGCTTTTCAGTTTTGTTTTGGTTGAGTTCTCCTGTATTTGAATATTATTGTAGTTTTTTTCCCCATGCATTGTTCTTCTTTGAGTGGTTTTGATTTTGTGTGTGTGTGTTTGATAATAAAGTTATTTTAAAAATAAAAAAAATCCTAAGTACCATCACAGACTTAGTTCAGTAGCAGGCATGTATTAAGTGCCTAATGAGTACAGAAACACACAATCCCAATATGAGTAAGACATGGTTAACTTCAAGAACTTCAGTCTAGAGACATTTATCCTTAGTAAATGATGTTCACTTATTAATTATAAAGTACTTTAGATTTCTGGTGTTCATTACGCTCTGGCCAAAAACAATTTTAAAATATTAGATCCCATTTTAATCAGAAACTATCAAATCTCCACCTGGTAATTATTTAACAAATGCTGGTCTAGACAGAAAATAAAGACCTCTGTAGTTTAAAAAAGATTTTAGATATCCCATAATCCCCATCTTATAGATAACAAAGCTGGTGGGGATTTGAAAACCCACTATTCTAAAGTCTAGTGGAAATGGCTTTCCACTAGTCCATGGGAAAGTATACAATATGAAAAAAGAAAAAAAATTGCTTGGTGCAAATGATTATTCTAATTGGTTATGAATTATTACTTTACTGTATGTTATGGATGTGGAATTCAGTCTCTGTTCTCACTGATGTATATTGTTCATTATTCCTTGACACTACCAACTTTATAGACATATTTACTATGTATCAGCTTTCCAGATCAAGAAATTCGTGAAGCAGCTATTCAACAATTGGACAACCTCTTGAATGATGAACTATTGGAGTATCTCCCACAGCTTGTTCAGGTAAGAATTTCAAGGGTGCCAAGGGATTCCAGAACTTTAACTAATGATTCTGTATAAGTTCCCAATGAATCCACAATAGACTACTTCAAAGTGGTGTTTGGCCAGCCAAAGAACTAAATTATAGCTTATAGGTCACTGTGAAGAATGCAGACGTTCCCTAGCATAAACTGGTACATTAACAAAGAGCCATATAAAAGCAAAAAAAGGAAAAAAAATAAAACTACTTATTAGTTAGACAGGGAAAAATATGAATAATTTGAGAGCCATATTTCTGCAAATTCAAGAGAAAGTACAGAGAATGTAACATGCCAAATGCACAAGAGGTAAAATTAAATAAAGCTGCAATTAAATTAACTAAAAGTAAAGATTCTAACATACTCTAACATGGGAAGTAATGTACAGTGTGACTAGAAAATAAATAAAAACTGGTGGGAAGACTTTAGCAACATTTGTTGTAAAGTTTATAATAAGACTTTCATGATCCACCCTGACCTTAAAACTTTCCAACACATAAAAATCCTACCTTGCTTATTATTTTCTGAAATCATTTTATTGTTGTTACAAATTTTTATATTAGAATGAAGCAGGCTAAATTAAAGCAGTAGAGAGGGACACATAAGACCATAATGAAAAGAGAAAATGTAGTTCATTGCAAGGAATTAAATAACACAAAGATGCAAAGTTTCTATAAACCACAGGTTGTAACTATGCAAGTAAGTTCCAAAAATAGAGTTCATGATAATGCATGTACACAAAAGTTGACTACATACTATACAGTGAGGCAGAATTTAGTGGGAAATTGTATCAGTAGAGCAAAACAAGGAGTTTGTAAGCAAGGAAAACAACTCCAGAGCACTAGTTATTGAGTTTAATAAGAAATAATGAAAAGAAATTTAAAAATAGCCATCATGGGAGTAGATTTTGAGGCATCTCCTGTTCATGCGTCTAAGTTACACAAGAGCTAATCAAAAATGGTGATTTAGGGCCGGGGATTTAGCTCAGTGGTTCTGCCGCCTGCCTCGCAAGTGCAAGGACCCGAGTTTGATCTCCAGTACCAAAAAAAAAAAAGAAATGGAGTTTAATTTTCTTATTGCAGTAAATAAAAATCCGCCCTAAAAATCCTCCCCCTTGCTTCAAACACACTTATTCTATCATTCTTGCCACTTTCTCCAGCAATTCTGAAAGTGCTCTTTCCTGAGAGTCTTTATAAGGTGTGATAAAAATATGGCAAATTCTGCTGCAGAGTACCAGCCAATAAAAAGGCAGGTTCATAAAAACTTTATGTTGTGTCTTATGCCCCTTACCCACTTGATCTAGCACCATAGGAGTTCTGGCTTTTCCCTCAAATCAAAATAACCATGAAAGGTAAATGTTTTGAATTGATTCAGGACAACGAGACAGCCAAGACATCACAATTAAAGACAGTCACAAAACAAGGCTTCCAGAATTGCTTCAGAAAGTGACAGGCATTATGAGATAAGTGTATTCAAAGTGAGGGGGATTAAAAATAGTGTGTTTTTTACTGTAAGAAATGGTAAACACTTACTGTATTTTTCAGTCCCATCTCATATGTTCACAATTAGGATGTAAACAAAACCCGAGAGCCGATCAGCTCAGCTCGGCACTAGCCAGTAAACAAAGATGCCCACGACTGCAGCCTGAGGGCTTTCAAGGGCTTTCTACACCTGTCAGCATTTAGGAGCTTGTGGACGTTTCATGAAATCACCACCAGTGCTCTCCCACTCGGGAATTTATAAACGTTCCCATCTTTGCAGGGAGCTAGCATCTTGAGGTGTTTCTTGAGAAGTGTGTAAATGAACAGACTACCTACTTTTCTCCTCATCTGTTCTGTGATATAAAAAACATGGCTTAAACTTTGAGTGTATGTGTGTGTGTGTGTGTTTGTGACAAAGAGAACAGACACAGACAGACAAAAAGACTGACTTCAATGGCTGCTTCTTGAACAACTAAAGATAGAACTTTGCCTCTTAAGCTGGGTTGAGCATTTATGCCAAGAGAACTTGGTTTTCATTTTCACATACCAGTTTGCTGGATGAAGCTGGAGACCCTGGCCCAGACTGGCCACAGTGCAGTCCCCGTGGAGGGCACATAGAGGTCTGAACTGGGTCCCCGCGGATGCCAGGGGCTGCCACTGCTATCTGTGTGTCTGATTAGGCTGAGTATAAACCTTGGAGTAGCTCTCAATGTAGATTATGGAAAAGACTTGGAAATGAGTCAGGATGTCAACAGTTGGCTTTGGAGCTCTAAAGAAACCTTTGAGATCTGTGGGTTAATACTGATTTGCAGCTGGTGACTTCTGCTAGTCCTTACATTACACATTAATTTCATCTCCAAATGGGTGGGAATGTCTGTTGCTCAATAATACCATTTTTTACATCTAGGAACATTGTTTGTGATATTTTTTCCTGTGATGAGTCTCCACTAGGGCATAGATGAACTCAGTGGGTCTTACTTATTACCCTTTAAACCTAAAATATAAGTAAAAAAAGCAAACAAGACTATACAAACTCAAACTGCATAATGTGCATGTGGCATGTTATTACACTCAAATTTAAAGCTATCAAGTATATTATCAACCTTTTATTGAAATCTGAATCCCATTTTCCCTAGTTTCTTTTCAGGGCTCTTTAGTTCTTCTGTGATTTTGTTCCTGGGGAAAAAGTGTAAAAGTACTGTCTCCTATTGCAGGCTGTCAAGTTTGAGCGGAGCCTGCAGAGTCGTTTGGTGGAACTTCTCCTGCACCGTTCCTTGCAGAGCATTCAGGTGGCTCATCGTCTTTACTGGTAAGTTCAACTAGAACAGGTTAGAAACTCTCCCCAGTTGCCAACCTCTCTGTGCAGCGATGTTAGAAGAAGTGGAAGATTCTTTCACCTTGTAATGGATATAAACCTTAACTTAAAATTCAGTCATTTTTGAGACTTTGTCAAAGGCATTTTTATTTGTGAGTATAATTTAACTCTCATCATTTTCAAAATCTTGCTCTTAGACAATTGCTACAGTTAAACACCCAGTTAAATCCAATCATAACTTAGTCTGGATGCTACTTTTCCTATAGCTTTAAATCCCCAGGGCTATGTGTGATCGTATTTACTCCCTGAAGATTTCAATATAAAATCTAGTTGTAAGACTGAATGTTTTGAAAGAATATGTTACAAACAGTTGAATCCTATGGCATATATATTTTGAAGATTCCTAGAACACTAAACTTTTCCCAGCCATCCCTTTAGAATATTAATAGAGAAATAAGAATTACTTTAGCAATATCAGAATTTCTCCCATTGTTACCTACTCTGGATAATATGAAACATGATGTTATTTGCATACTGCTTTTCATTACTTACCTTATAAATTCAGTTCGCAAAAACGTTTCACACTTGTGTCAGTGATCTAGGGATAAAAGTAGGTCCTTCATGGATATATGACAGCCATCACTTACTTGCTTCAACCGTGAGTTTAGAGATTATTAGGAAAACAGCAAGTCGGCATGATTTTAGAGTGCTATGTTTTTCTGATTCAAGAAATGTTATTCATATTGGTATCACTCTTCCCTTGAAAATAAATCAAGCATTTCGCAGGAAACAGACACAGGAACTTGTCAGGGACTCATATTTGATTTGCTACTCATAATTTGAAATGTCTAATTTAAGAAGTAGAGTTCTCCTCTAGTGTGTAACTATAATGAGGAATCAGATAAATTGAGTGGTGGTGGGCCATTCACTGAATAGACTCTTGTCAAAGCTCTCAATAAAGTTTTACTCCCATCAGTTCCTCAGTCAGCTACCACAGTGCTATGCAGAAAGTTAAATGAATACACTTTGTGATATTGGGTCTTAAAGCAGGATTCCATTAAATTCAATATTTACCTCCTTAAAATTTAACTTTTTTATGCATTGTTAAAATAAAGCATATTTGAATGTAACATAATAATAAGTTTAATATTTGAACCATAATACAAAAGTGTATAAAATATAAAAAAGATAATACCTTTAAGATAATAAAAATTAAAATACACTATTAAGGCCTTACCCTAATTGATTAGTGATTGTTATAATACATGCACCACCTTAAATTCTTCATCTGCTAAAATGGCATGAAAAGTAGAGTCATTTGAAAGGCAGTAAGGAGTGGAAAGCTGTAAATCAGTGTCATATTTGTAATTTCACATAAATACAATTATGTCACTGTTTCCATGGGGGTTTGGGAGAAAAGCCTTTCTCACCCACATGAAAAAGACCAGTAAGAAATCCCTTTTATCTTTTCACTAGTTTAAGAGGTAAGAGAAAAGAATATAAGTTACAAATAAACTGCTTGTTTTGAGGGCTGAGTTTATAAGAACATGGAAACAAGAAAAGGAAAAGCCAGGAGAGAGATTTTAAAATAAAAACTAAGAATCAGATAATATGATTAAAGTATAAAAATGATAATATAATATTCATATTAATTCATATCATGGAGTAGAAATTGCTGAGACCTAACATCATGTTTAAGGAGAGTTTTGTGCAGAGTATTTGAATTAGAACTTTTTTAAAAAATGAAACTCTAGTCCTTTTGAAAAAGCAATGTCCTGTTTTAAAAAAGGCAGAAACTCATCAGCCATCAGTTTAATGAGTTTTTCACTTGGATGAACTACTGCCTCTACAGAATCAATCTGTTTATTCAACACGTAATCCAGCATCTTGCCCTGCTCACCTAGACTTTAGCGTCTGTCTTTCTCTAAGCTAAGAGTCTTAGAGGGTCTTCTCTTTTCCCTACTAACACAGCCAACTCTAGCCAGCTCTGTAGCTCTCTGCATCCCAAACAGTCTCTCCATTCCTCTACTTCCACCTACTACTGCCACTGACAAGTGGAATGATTTACCAAATGTTGATTTAAGCATAAAGAGGCTCAGGATGACCCCATCTTGACCATTTTGTATTACTGTCAGTATCCTTCTTGGAGGAAAATTGACTTGGGGTTACTGTGAGTCTCTTCCATTGGAAGGTCCAATGTAGGGCAAGTACCCCCAGTTTTTCAAGAAAAGAGTTAGCAAGTAGCTTTGGATTTGGAAAGTTTAAAAGCTTTACCTCCCAGTTTGCACCCTAGCAGGTGGTTTTACCTGGCAACTGTAACATTTCGGGTTCATTCTTAGGAGGTAACAGGTAAGGAGATAATAACAGATATAACAGTTAGTTATAGAACCTTACACTCAGTTCTCCTTTCCTTTTGGGCCAGAAATAATTTAACAGGCAATAGGCTGAACATCAGCCCCTAAATGAGATGCCCACATCCTAAACCCAGGAAGCTATGAATTGTGACTTTTTTGACAGTGAAACTGAGAGAAAGATTTTGAGTTGAGAGCACACCAGAATATGAGGGTGGGCCCCACATTCAGGGGAAAAGTGACCTTCTGAGGCAGAAGCAAAGGAAGCCAAGGGAAGATGGGGCCTCGATTACAGTAATGCAACCCCAAGCCTGTGAAAACCTGGGGATGATAAAAGCTGCACAGGGCTCCCCAAGAGCCTGGGAGGGAGCATGGACTGACCGACTCTTCAATTGCAGAGTTCCGACCTCCAGACTTGTGAATAAGTTTTTGCCATTGAAGTCATTGATTTTTGGCAATTTCTGCACCACAAGAAGAATTTTATGAAGGGCCCTGCCTTAGATTGACTGGTGCCTCAGTCACTTTCCCATCGCTGGGGCGTGAGAGCCAACACCCACAACTCAAAGGATGAGTGGTTTATTTGGGCTCACAATTTCAGTTCATGGTCTGCTGCCACCAAAACAGAAATGGGATGGCAGAGGGCTATGGCAGAGCAAACGGTATTCAATCCATGGCAACCAGGAAGCAGAGAGAGAGAAGGAAGGAGCTGAGGACAAGAATACACCCTTGCAGGTCCTGTACCCAGTGGCCCATCTCCAACCAAGCTCCACCTCCCAATCACACATTCAGCTCCTACTGAACTCAACAGTGGATGAATCCACCGATGAGTATAGCATTTCCATGATCCAATCACCTTCCAAACTCATGAGACATTTGGAGGACATTTTAGACCTAAACTATAACGACCAGGATGTCCTATCATTCAGAAAGCTTTCTTTGACTCTTCTCAGCCACCCCGGGAGTGAACACTGCTCCCACACTGTACCCCTGGTGTACCATCTGTGACTCTGCTAGACACTGTCTCATGCTTCCTCTGTCCACCTAGCGGCCTGTGAATTTCCTTTTGCACTCCATATAATAGCTAATAATACACACCATGCCATATCAATCCGGTCACAGTTTCCAAACTCATTAGATACTCCAAAAATGTCTTTAAACTCAGGAGGTCATAGAAATTTCTTCCAGTCCAGCAATGTGTTCACATATTAGCAATTCCATGGAATCTGAAGCTATTACTTTGCTCAAGTCACTGAAAATCCGATGCCATAGTCAGATACATTTCCCTGCCTGCTACATCCATCCCCAGCTTCTACACTGACTACTGGTTCATTTCTATCCCTTCTGTGGAGTCTGTCCTCTGCTGACATAGCCACCTGGCCTGTGAGTTGGGAACTGTCCAAGATCTACATTCTGGAGATTTGCTATGGATGGGATCAAGGTTAAACTTGACCTGAGAACTTACCTTGTTAACATCTTCTCCTCCCTGTAATGCTTCCCTTCTCACAGAACTTTCCCCAAAGAGGACTTGTTCAGTAAATCATGTGCACTAAAATTCCTGTCTCATATGCTGGTGTAGGGAATTTGACCCAAGATGAAGATTTCTTAATGGAAATAATGAATTTAAATACAGTTATCTCTTGATATCTGCCAGGGATTTGTTCCAGATCTGTACCTCTCAGGAGATGCCAAAATCAGTAGCTGCTCAAGTCTCTTATCTAAAATGGTGTCCTGTGTACATCCTCTCCTCTACCTCTGTCTCTGTAGATTACTTATAATACTCAATATAATGTAAGTGCCTTGTAAATAATTGTTATACTCTATTGTTTAGGTATAATTACAAGGCGAAAATCTGTACATGTTCAGTACAGACTAAATTTTTTTAATATTTTCAATCTGCAGTTGTTTGAGCCCAAGGCTACTGCAAAATTCACAGGCACAGAGGAACAACTGTATGGTTTTTTTTTTAACAACTGGAACGTGCTATGTGACATGCTATGTGAGAAACAGCAATGTCACAGCTTTTACACTCCTACTATCAAATCTGATTGAATGAGCCAGTTTGAATCAAACTCTGTATGGTAAGAAGCCATTCTAAAACATGGCTCCTTTGTAAAAGTTGTTCTGAAGGCATGTGATGCAAAAATCTGAGTGACTCCTTTGAAGTGTGAGAACAGGTTGAGGTGAAGCTCTATCCAAGTAATATTTTTTTCTGGTTTACTTGCTGATATATCACAAGCACCTAGGACTGTACTTGACACTTTATACACGTTTGATAAATTGCTATCGAATGAAGGAAGAGACGTTATCAGGCCCAAGCAGATCTGTGACAGAAGGGGGCAGAAAAGAGCTGCTTGAGCACTCAAACAAGAACTTGGCAGTGCCGGAACAATTTCAGGAAATTGTCTCAGTCTGGAATGGGCAATGGATATCGCAAACAAAGGCAGAACTGGACACGAGGGAGAATGTGAGAAGTCAGAACTAACCCAAGTCAGGAAAGAGGGCCTAAGAACAAGCAGATGCAGTACAGTCTGCTGGATGGGAAGAAAACTAGAAAGTAAATTAGACCAAACACGATGCTGTGTCCAGTACTACGAGGCCTTTTCGAGGTGGCAGGTGTATTAACCTCTGAGCTTTGATATGCAA